TTCAGTGATTTGTTTACATAAGATTGTACCTTCCATCTTTCTAGGAGAAGATCTTGCGGAAGTCCATATGGCAAGGAACTGAGTGAAGCCTTTCGGTAACAGCTAGGAACCGAGGCCCTCAGTCTAACAGCCCTCACAGAACTGAATTACAACAATGACGTGAGCTTGGAGCCAGATTCTTCCCTATTTGAGCCTTCAAATGAGGGAAGCTCTACCTGTGGCCGATATCTTGATTATAGCCTTTTGAGGGACCCCGAAGTAGAGGACCCAGTTAAGCCATGCTATGGACTTCTGACCCACAGAAGCTGTGAGATAATAAATGTGTATTTTAAGCCACCAAATTTGTAGAAAATTGTTATGCAACAATAGATACGTAATACTCATTTGATAAATATGCTCACTATGTTTTATTTCAAGTCATTGATGAAAATGTTTTACAGAACAGTGCCAAGTCAGTATGCTGGTTCATATCAATAGAAGTCATTGCTAGGTTAATATTGATCAATTACTTAGCATTCACTTAGGTTTATTTGTGCAGTGAATGACCTTAATTATGCTTCTACTTTGTCTACTTTGTTTTTCTTTTTTCTTTTTGAGAGACAGGGTCTCATTATGTGGTGTGATCATAACTCTTTGTAACCTCAAACTCAAGTTATCCTCCCACCTCAGCCTCCCGAGTTGCTAGGACTACAGGCATGTGCCACCATACCTGGGTAATTTTTTACTTTATTTGTTGTAGAAACAGGATCTTACCGTGTCACCCAGGCTGAAGTGCAGTAGTGTGATCGTAACTCACCGAAGCCTCAAACTCCTGGGCTCAAGGGACCCTTCCACCTCAGTCTCCTGAGTAACTGTGATTACAGCATAAGTCATTGCATCCAGCCTGTATTTTCTAATTTTTTTTTTTTTTAGATGGAGTTGCTCTGTCACCCAAGCTGGGGCGTAGTGGCGCTATCTCGGCTCGCTGCAACCTCCGCCTCCCGGGTCCAAACAATTCTTCTGCCTCAGCCTCCCTGGTAGCTGGGATTACAGGCATGTGCCACCATACCTGGCTAATTTTTGTATTTTTAGTAAAGATGGGGTTTCTCCATGTTGGCCAGGCTGATCTTGAACTCCTGACCTCAGATGATCTGCCTGTCTCAGCCTCCCAAAGTGCTGGGATTACAGGCATGAGCCACCGCACCTGGTCTGTTTTCTAATTTTTATTGCATGAAATGTCTCACCAAATGCTTTGTTAGAATTTCAGATATATGTCTAGTAATTCTATCCAAAAAGAGAACAGATTAGTCTGGCATTATTATTATTTTGAGACAGGTTCTCCCTCTGTTGCCCAGGCTGGAGTGCAGTGGTGCAATCATGATTCACTGCAGCCTCAAACTCCTGGGCTCAAACGGTTCTCCTATTTCAGCCTTTATAGTAGCTAGGACTATAGGCATGTGCCACCATGCCTGACTGATTTTTGTATTTTTTGTAGAGGCGGGGTTTTATTATGTTGTCTGGGCCGATCTTGACCTCCTGGTCTCAAGTGATCCTTCCTGCCTTGACCTCCAGTGTTGAGATTATAGGTGTGACCCACTGCACCCAGCCTTTTTTTTTTTTTTTTTTTAGGTAAACCCATGCCGACTTAGCAGTTACTTTTTTTTTTCTAATTGTTTGCAAACACATCTTTTGGACAATTCATTCTAGATTCTTATTTGGGATCAATACTAAGATCCTTGATGTATGGTTTGGTTTGCAGATTTCACCATCTTTTTGCCTTTAATTTAGTTATCACCAGGTTTCTAGCAACTTTCCCATTTTTACATGAACTCTCAAATTTTTCTCAAATGGTTTATTAGGTTAACTGGCAAGTTTTATCAAAATTCTGGAGTGTAATTTGTTCAGTCCAGGAGTGGTGGATTTATTTAGAGTAGTCAAGTGCCCTCTTACAATCTTTATCTTCAGTTCCCTCTTACAATGTTTGTTTTATACTTTATATTCTGAGTATTATCCTTTTTAGTCAGACAGAAACATATCCATTAATCATTACACCATGAATTCTAGCACTGGGCATTTCCTTCCTTGCTTTTGTTCCAAACTTCATTTTATTGGCAATAATGTTACTAAGATATAACTCAAAAGCACTTCTTGTTGCCCAGGCTGGAGTGCAATGATACAATCTTGGCTCACTGCAACCTCCACCTCCTGGGTTCAAGCAATTCTCCTGCCTCAGCCTCCTGAGTAGCTAGCTGGCATTACAGGCACCCGCCACCATGCCCAGCTAATTATTTGTATTTAGTAGAGATGGGATTTCACCATGTTAAGTCAGGCTGGTCTTGAATTCCTGTCCTCAGGTGATCCACCCACCTCGGCCTCCCAAAGTGGTGGGATTACAGGCATGCTCCACCATGCCTGGCCCTAGAAATCTTTAAATGTTATTTTTAGAAAACTTTTTGGTTAAATAAAAATATTTTACAAAGGCAAGTGTCTTTCTTGACTTTGAGTAACTTGCTCATGATAGCAATTTTATGAATATGTGTTAACTTCAATTGATATGTAATATATAGTAGCCCAATAAGTTAAGAATTGGGATAGGTGTGAACTTGCTAAGGAGCTTTTATTTATTTATTTATTTTTGAGATGAACTCTCGTTCTGTCATCCAGGCTGGAGTGCAATGGCATGATCTTGGCTCACTGCAACTTCCGCCTTCCGGGTTCAAGCAATGCTCTGTCTCAGCCTCCCTAGTAGCTGGGATTCCAGGCGCCCGCCACCATACCCAGCTAATTTTTGTATTTTTAGTAGAGATGGGGTTTCACCATCTTGGCCAGGCTGGCCTTGAACTCCTGACCTTGTGATCCACCCGCCTTGGCCTCCAAAAGTATTGGGATTATAGACGTGAGCCACCACATCCAGCTGTTTTTTGGTTTTGTTTTTGTTTTTGTTGTTGTTGTTATAAACACAGGGTTTCACTCTGTCACCCAGGCTGGAGTGTGAGTGCAATGGTGCAAACACAGCTCACTGTAGCCTGGACCTCTCGACCTCAAGAGATCCTCTTGCCTCAGCCTGCTGAGTAATTGGGACCGCAGGCATGCAAGGAGCTTTTTGCTAAAAAGAGATAAAGGAAAACAAAGTAAATATCACCTACTTCATCATTTGAGCTTGGGTTAGCCTTTTTAGAAAAGGAAGATGGCAAGATTGTTTCCAAAGATACTTCAAAGGGACAAAGTACTGAATATACAGCAAGCAAGGGATTGATTTTGATAGAAAAACTGGAAAGTAGATCCCCAAATGTTGGTAGATGGTATAGATGTTTTAGAAGAGAATGCCAAAGAGAAAAGTTATTCATCATTGATTGTCCTGACAAGAGCAGCAGACTAATTTGGCATGGCTGTTCTCTGAACAACATGAGATTTGTTCTTGACTGAAACAACAGTCCTTTGTCTCAAAGCATTTTCTTATCACTTGGTGAAACTGTCAGTAGTCTCCTCACCTTTATGAGGTAAGACGTGTGTGTAGAGGCCTTAAAATACTTCCTAAGACTTTATGCTGGGGATTTCTGATCTAGAAATTTCCTGGTATTTTTATTTATTTGTTTACCTAACAATTTAAGCAAAGTGATTAGAACGTAACCTTTATTTAACAATGTCTGGTCTTCCACTATAGACTATAATCTTTTTGTTTGTTTGATTTGGTTTGGTTTCTGTTTTGTTTTATTTTTATTTATTTATTATTTTGAGATGGAGTCTCGCTCTATCATCCAGGCTGGAGTGCAGTGTCATGATCTTGGCTTACTGTAGCCTCCACCTCCTGGATTCAAGTGATTCTCATGCCTCAGCCTCCCGAGTAGCTGGGATTACAGGTGCATGCCACCCCGCCTGGGTAATATTGGTATTTTTAGTAGAGACAAGGTTTTGCCATGTTGGCCAGGCTGGTCTCAAATTCCTAACCTCAAGTGATCCACCCGACTTGACCTCCCAAAGTGCTGGGATTACAGGCGTGGGTCAGCACACCTGGCCGTGTTTTATTTTGTTTTAGAAATGGTGTTTTGCTGTGCTGCCCAGGTTGGAGTGCAGTGACTGTTCACAGGAACAGTCATAGCACACTGCAGCCTCAAACTCCTGGCCTCAAGAGACCCTTCTGCCTCCACCCCCCAAGTAGCCAGGACCACAGGTGCATGACATTGCATCTGCCTGTGTTTTGTTTTGCTTTGGACTGTAATTTTAACCTGATATGAATAAATTAGTCATGTATTTAAATTACTCTAGTCATGCAAGTGATTTAATTTGTTATCAATAAGGATTTGTAGACTATATGCTATTATAGCTAGATGAAAGATAAATTACTCAAATGAATGGTCTTCCTTCTGCTCTCTTTTTTCCTCCAGTCTTTGTCCAAATTTTATCAGTTCTTCCAAATCCTCTTTGAATGCTACTCTGTGTAGGTATATTCTTGCTGTGCGCGGATCATTTGAATTTTTGGTATTCAGGCCATTTTTCCTACTATATTATAAGCTGTTAGAAGGCTGGGTCTGTATCTTATTTATCTTTATATCTTCCATAACACACTGCTTTGCACAAAGTTGATATTTAAGCATCAGTGTATTAATGAATAATGTAATTGATGACAAACATTAATAACCACCTCAGCTTTTCACTAGTATTACTAAAACTTTATTAATTGAGTGAATATGCAATCTCTCTTTTCCATCACAGGCTTCTGTCTCTAAACAAGGGCAAATTTTAGGGAGACCTCCTTTCTATCCCATTTATTTCTCCCCCCACCCCTTTTTTTAGTTCTATTTCTCTGTTGCAGCTCTATTTGTCTTTTCACTATGACTCATTCTTTTTTTCTCAATCCTGCCCCTTCTGTATCTGTCTGTTTTTTATTACTCTGCCTCTTGCTCCTTTTAATTCCTAATGCCACTTACAACTTTGTTTTCCTGTCACCTGGTCTTTCTGTTTTCGTTCTTTCTGTTTGGCTTTCTCCTGCACTTGTCAGTACCTCTCTCCTTGCCCTCAAGGTACAGGGCAGGATTAGGTATAGGAGGAGCCCAACTGGGGTAGGGGTGGAGCCACCTGTTCACTGCTTCAGGATTCAGAACCTGACTAGGAAGGATCGGCTGCTCAAGGGTAGCTGGGACTGAAGTCCCTATGACCTTTTCACTAGAGGCTAGCATTCTGGAGGACAGTTGGGACTTGGTAAGCTCAGAAGCTCTCCCTGTCTTCCTTTGTGTTCTCCCTTTCTTCTTTCCTGTTCTGCATTTTTCACTCACAGTCTCTCTCTCCATACTACTAACTTTTCTTCAGTTTCTCTGTTTTACTGTTATTCTCTTTCCTCTTTCTTCCTATCAGTGAACTCTAGTATTTGTCTTTTCTGTTACCTATTCTTTCCACACATCTCTGTATTCTCTGTCAACATTTTTCCTACCCCCTCTCCATTTTGTTCTTCCTTTCATTAGTTTTCTCACCCAGGTTTCTTTTTTCTTAAACTTCTGGCCTCAAGTGATCCTTTTACCTCAGCCTCTCAAAGTGTCGGGATTACAGGTATGAGCCACAGTGCCTGGCTAGCTTGCTTTTTTCATTTAGTCATTTTTAATCCACATCTCTATTTTTTAAAAAATCATACTATTTCCCAGAGAAACAGAAATAAGAGAGGAAAAAAGGAGCACCTTGTCTTTCCAGGGGCCCGTTCAGCCTTTTGACTCATTCTCAGGCTTGTAGTACGTTTTGAGATTAGGCTTTGAAGAAAATTTATTCTGTATAGATAGTTAATAATGAACATAGAGTTAGGTTGAATATTCAATGTAAAAGGTTTAATTTTATTCTTTTTTCCTTGTTTTATTTAGGTTTTTCCTGCAATACAGTGGATACAATTTGTCATGGCTACTCTGAGGTATGTTTATTTAATCTCATATAACTAAACTAGTATAAGCACAATTGGTCAATTCTGTAGTTTTCCACATTTCCCCCTCGGGGATTTGCTTTTACTCTTTAGTTAAAAAGAAATGATGTTCTTTATCATGTTGATATCTTCTTACTAATAAAATGACAACATTAACAACAATAACAACAAAAAACTGATTAAAGGTTAACATCTGAACATCAGTGGACAACCTGGTCAACAGGATCAGTTGCAAAATCAATAGCAAAGTGCTTACTTAAGCAGTATCTATACTAAAAATTGGAATGACACAGAGAAAATAGGCAGGGCTGAGCTCACACCTGTAATCCCAACACTTTGGGAGACTGAGGTGGGCAGATCGCTTGAGCTCAGGAATTTGAGACCATCCTGGGCAACATGGTGAAACCCTGTCCCTACAAAAAACAAAACAAAACAGAAAACAAAAAACCATAAAAATAGCTGGACATGGTGGTATGTGCCTGTAGTTCCAGCTACTCAGGAGGAGCTGTGATTGTGCCACTGCACTCCAGCCTGGTTGACAGAGCAAGACCCTATCTCAAAA